GACGGCTTCTGCCTGATCAAGTGATAAACCGTTTTCAGCTCCTTCGTTGTTCCGGCTTTGTTGACTCTCCGCATGCTAAGAGCTTGACCTGAGCACTTCCCAACTTGACCCCTACTTATAGTATATTATAGTATATTATGGTATATTACAGCTTACTATAGTATATTATACTATACTCTGGTATATTATGGTATATTAAGGTATACTACAGTACATTCTAGTATACTATAGTCTATTATAGTCCGTCTCTTAAGGTGGAGTGGGTGAGTGAATATAGGTATTGTTGAGGGAAGAATGTAAGGTTATTAATACGATCACTAGCGGATCCCCTCCCCACTCCCCCTTCTGCGCCATTGAGAAGGATTGGTTCAGCGAATTGTCAACCATCAGTCCGTGCGCCGCAATGTAACTTACTGGATTGGTAGGGAATACGGGTATATGTTGTACGTATAGGGTTTAAACAGGGATTATATTCCCTTATTCCCTACTAAGAAGCAGCAAGACACTGCATCGGATGCATCGCACAACCTAAGCCTTTAAAAATCAGCAAGGTGAGACATTGGGGCTTTGACAAGTAGACAGGTGGCCCAATAACAGCGTCAGTCTTAGTATGGGACTCTCAAGAAAAGGCTCCAAACCTCCGCAGAATCACAATGCTTGGCAGTTTAGAAAATGCCAAGGTTTTTCCTTATGGCCAGTCCACACGTCGTGGACGTCTAAAGCTGCAATGCTCTTGTTCGTGCGGGACGCGGCCATCAGGGTTTGGCGCTTTCAGGTGTGAGTGCGTTTTGTGTAGCTATCGTACAGTAGACCATCGAATAGAGTGTCAGGTCCAATCCTCCCTTCTGCGTAGTGGTACCTGGTGCGTTTAATCTCTTCATCTCTGTATGACTATCTTGAACCCCTCCGCGTTTAGAACCAACAGTTCGCAGCGCTAAAGTCACTTCCCTTGCAGAAGTCACTTTTGGGTTATTGCAGGTGCAAGAAGAGGGTGCGAGGAATTGGGGATTCTGGCTGTAGATTCTAGCCGGTTTAACTCGACAAAGTGTTAGCCAACCCCCACGCCCCAAAGTATGGGCTACAACTTGGACTGGATGTCCGAACATGTTTTTTTTGTAATATGCACACACCCCAAAAAAATCACGATCTAGAAATAGGACCCTAAACCCAAGAGGAAGCCCTTATAGGGTCCAAGTGGTGCTACAGTTGTGTAGCGGCTTCGCGGCTTGACTTGGTTACTCGCTCATGAAGCCACAGGTTTCAACGGAACAGCTTTCGGGTCTGAAGGGTGGAGTTTGGGGTTTCGGGCTTCGGGTCTAGGATCACGTGGAAGTTCAAAATAGCGGGGCCTATAGTTGCGGCGTTGGTTTCGATGTTTGTTTGAGGAGGGTAGAGAGTCACAGCTTAGCCGTGCTACCGTACGCCATGTTATCGGGCTGCATAAGTCGCTTCAGAAGTACACACCTGACTCCGCGCATGACAATTGGAAAGCCACGGGGCCCAAAACCACCTAAACTTAGGCCTTGAACACCCCCAGCACCCTGAACCACCCCTGCTCCCACCACAAAACACCCTAAAGGTGTATGACTGTATCATATCATCTGGCAGCCATCAATAAGGAAAAGAAGTGGATGCTGTTACTGCACGCCCCGAACCCTAAACCCCAAACCCTAAACCTCAAATCCCAAACCCGGACCCTAAACCCCACACTCTTGACCCTAATACTTATAAACCTTAGACCCTAAACTAAAGCACGGAAGGATCTTCTCCGGATCCTCGGACGCATCTCGTGGCTTTGCGCGTGTCTTCCATCGGACTCTCGGTTATGAGACTCCCTTTTTAGGATTTAGAGGGATGATGTTCTGGTTTAGGGCGTAGTAGGGTTACTGTAGGGGTTCAGGGTTTAGGGTTTAGGAATAACCCTGTCCCCCAAATTACAATACCCATCTAGTTCCATGATCTATTCGGGTGAAGATTTATCATTAGGGCTGTTTTTTGGGGGGGACGGGCGTCGTGATCAGGAGGTGGTGAGCATTGGGATATCAATGGGGATTGTCCTAAATTACTGTCAATACGGGGTCCTATACTTAGGTTCTTATTTTAATACGGGGCCCTATATAGATTTCCCCCATTTTGGGAACAGTAATTTAGGGAAACTGCCCAATGGAGATATAGAGGACCGAATAGGAGCTACCAGGGGATCACGCGGGCTTAGGCACTAGAAAATAGCGGAGAATCAAATGGAAAGGTGAAGACTGAAGCTGAAGCCGGGTCTATAGCCCTAAGGGTCCAAGGACCAACTAATAGTGCTTTAGGGCCCAATTACCATTGATATTATAGTGTTTGGGCCCCAAAACCCCATTATTTGGGTCCTTGCACCCTTATATAGCCCCATATATCCTTATAAAGTCCCCCTATAACCCCTTTAAAGGGACCCGATTATTTGGGTCCTTGGACCCTTAGGGTGGGAGACTGTAGGGATCGTATAAGCCCGTATCATTGCCAACCATGTGTCTTTGTAACGCACCGTATAAGTTAGTAGTGACTATAAGGTATAATGGTACTTATAAAAGGGTCCTCTTATAGTCCTATTATACCACTATTACAGGGTGGAGGGTCCTCCTAAAGTATAAGATTCGCCAAAACACCATCATACTGTAATTGTCTAGGCCTAGGCGCCTACCTTGCTTATTGGTGCCTTGGATTGAACTTTGTGTGCTTGAAATTCTCGAGGGTGGCGTCCGGCTTAAAGCGGACTATATTATATGAGCGACCGCTTTCATTATCGTGTAGGAGCCAAGAGCAGGCAGAGATAAAATTCAGGGACATGAGCAAAACCCTGGTAAAGCGATAGGGCCCCCCCAAAAGTGATACCCGCGAAATGGATGACAGCAGTGTGCAAAAGCCCTGTAAAGCGATAGGCTCCCCCAAAGCGCTTTTTAATTCGCTGTTTACGAATAATTTAAGTAGCTGCTCATACGAGAATATGGAAGATAAAATGGAAGCTACTGTTATATAGGGGTAATCTGGGTGATAGATATACATATTTATATAATGTATATAGATATTATATGTGGATAATGGCAAAGAAAATGGAAGCTGCTATTTAGGGTTTATGGATGAGTCCAGAGTTGAGATTGGAGCGCTTCGTTTTGACTCTCACGCCCCTTTTATTGGCAAGTTCTCACGCTTGTAGATCACAATCCGCATACACCCCTATATACTTTGGGTGGACCCCCCCACCCAGTAATATTGACTATAAGGGATGATAAGGATTATATTAGGGTGCTATTATATTCCTGTTATGCCACTATTACAGGGTGGGGGGTTCTCCTAATATATACTGTACAACCAGTTGTCATTTCATGTGGTTTCGCCTTCAGGGAAGTCCTTCTTCAACGACACCCCCCGGGTTTTCAGTTACCATGTGGGTGCCCACATAGAAGACCCATGTAAGGCACGTATAAGAGTACTCGGGCTTTGTGGGGTGTATGGGCCTTGCTTAGGGGTTCCCACCTCATAACTACACACCTGGACGTTTGCTTGACTCCCAGCCTGTGGGTTTCAAGGATCGGTGGGCGCCCAAGATTGGCGTGATCCTCCTCCTGATCATGGGTGGGAGGCCTGTATAAGCATTGGGGTACTCCTCGACCCCTGCCAGGGGTCCCAAACCACCTGCGATACACTATCCTCCCAGGGTCACCCTGAATCAGGCTGTATTAGCCTTGCATCTCCCAAATAAGTGCAATTCAGGCGGGGGGCAGCAGAAGCGGGGTGTTTCATGAAGCCGGAAATCTACCCTGTCCTTTGCGCGTTCAGGGCCGCATGGAAATAATACAGAGCGCCGAACAACTGTGCACTCGCGATTTCGACTTCGGTACAGTCGCAAATGGGAGCTTTCAACGTCAAGGTGTTCTTAAACGACATTCGAAATGAAGTAGTCCATAACCATAATATGCCCCTCCAATGGCCTGTAGCTGTATGTCTTTTAACATCTCTATAAGTTTTATGGAGAGCCTTGTACTGGTAAAGTGTGAAAACACAACCATGCGGGCCGCAGAACCTGCTGATTTCATGAACTTTTCTCAGAGACCAATACGCACCCACAGCTACGAAGTTCCCGTGACGATTATGTCAGGCAGTGTGAAGGGCTCGTGAGCAAATTCTGGTCTTCATTTGCGACATTTTGTTTGTATGTTAGGAACAGCTTGTCCTCTTTAGCACATAAAGCATGGTCCACACGACGTGGAGTCTGAGTCATGTCGTGGAGTCCAAGACCCTTTGAGTTTGCTGGCTTACCCTATAGGCCTCCATTTGGCCCAAGGTAGTTCTAGTAATAATGGAGACTCCACTGGGGAAAGAAGATGCATGGTATCTGGGTTTAGATTGGCATCTGATCCCGGAGGCGAAAATCGCATGAATACAACCAGCTGACACCAAAACCGTCCATGCATGTTGCTTTCAAGATCTAGCGTTCATTCCTTCAATGTCGCGGTTCGAGTACTAAACTGAACATAATAGAGCAAACCTTCTCTCGGATGAATTACACAAAGAGCCAGGAAAGAGCCAGCTCTTGCCCCAAGAAGGATTATCACAAGACATGACCAGCATTACACACTAGATCCTATATCCAGCATAGCATGGGAACAAGTAATTAAGTAATTCACCCTTCACCCAGAAGCCCAATCCATGCGGAATTCCAGGTTTCTTCCCCGACGAAACGATCAATTTAACATTGCACCGCGTATTCGAATAGCTTCGGAGAGCTCAGAGAGCTTAGAGCCCAAACGATGAAAAGAGTCCACCCTTCCAATCCGTCCAGGATTGCCACAAAAACAACATTTTCCAGTTTTGATGGGTGGCCCCCTGGTTATCTGAAAATCAGAATCGCCGATCCATGTATGCATGCGTCTCCGCAAACTTACATCTAGCATGCATCACCGAACCTCACGCCTCACGCCTGATTCTGTGCTCTAGCAGCGAGGTGTTTGTTCTGGCACATGCGGAGCTCCTTCTTGTACGTTCACCAACTCAGCGACTTCTTTGAGAACGGCACACCTTGCCGCCTTGAGAATGAGGAAGCCGATTGCTGGATTGGAGCTTACATGATCTATTCCAAAGCCCTGATGTTGCCTGATCGCTTTTGAATACTGTCCGCTTTTGGTGTTTTTTGAGCTCGGGGCTCGTACAAGGCTTCTATGTCAAGAGGCCTACAGGTTTCTTTTTGCAGCCAGAAGAAGCATGCACCCAGGTTTACCATCATGCACTCTTGGCAGTGCCGTGGCTGTTCATCCAGCCAGCCTTGTGTGACACAGTTGATGGACGCAATCCTACAAGACCATGAGTAAGTATACTGTAGCACTTCCGTGGATGTAGGCCAGTTAGGGGAAAGCCCCGCGCTTTGACCAGCAATGGGCTAAAGTCTCCTCAGAATCCTTAGAACTACTGCGAGACCACTAGTGTTACATAATATACGCACCTAGGTTTTAGGATGTTTTAGGTAGGTATTTTTACTTGGTCTGACAGGATGTTGTCCATGAACCATAGGTACCCAACTTAAGCTTAGTCAAGGCAGGTATAAAGGGTTTAGGGTGTGGGGTTTATAGGGGTTAGGCCCTTGAAGACGTAGCCCAGCAGTGTCTCCACATTTGGTCCACGATGGTAGTTCCTTGCACCAAGAACCTCAGTACTTGGCTAGGTAGAGAGGCCCAACTTTCAGAAATTCCCTTTCCACGGGGATTTGGGTTAATTACAAATACTACCGCAGGAGCGGCTCAGCATTATGGTTACAAGCATATTCATTGAAGAGGCCCTGCATCATGTAAAGGCCTAGGCCCCTATTCTGCTGCAATGCCTGAGCTTGGTTTTAGGGTTTCGGGCTTGTGGGTACCCAATATATTGCCAGATTTGTTTCATAGTGTTCTGCCTGAGGTCCAGGTGTTCATCATTATAATTCCTAAATACCCAACCCTGGATGCTTTGACTTGAACCTTGGGGTTCTGTCTGTAGGACTTAGGGTACCCGGTGCGGTGCAGGCAACCCCCATGTTTGGGGCAGTGTAACCCCTAAATCCTAGAACCATAACCGCCAAACCCAAAACCTTAAACCCCTGAAACGATAAAACCCTAAACACTGGTACCGGTCAGCTATCACAAGGACGTGCCCCGAAACTGGATGGCTTGCACCGAAAAACTCCTGCACGGCTGTGGGTACTGTAGAGGCCTACTTAATTACTGTACCCAAAGTATCGTCCTAGGCGCCTCGTAGTTTGAATAAACCTTGAAAGGATTTTGGTTGTTGCAGTACTCTTGATCCGTGGAATCAGCGCTTTGGCGGTGCTATGTGATGCATGATGTTCCTATCCACGCGTTAAAACGTGCGGGAGTTCAAGCACTTAACCTTGGATGCGAAGCCATAAGCAGTCATGGGATTCATGGGCCCCAACCTCACCTTTAGTAAGCTAGGAATGAAGGAATGGGTCCTTATAATAGTCCCTATTTAACCCATTACAGTAGTTTCCATTTTCTCTTCCATTCCAAAGGTAAGCAACAACACGCCTAGGGCCTACAACCTAAACCTGGTGGCAGGAGTTTGGCTTCGGCGTTATGCCCATCAAGCTGTCAAAGTTGTAGCCCCAAATCCCGAATCGCAGATACGGAGGTCATCCTACCCCAAAACCATCCACAAAAAAACCGAAAACCTTAAACCCTCCTGAGGATTCTCCACAAAACGCCCCTGACAGGCCTGAAGATTCACCCCAAAAACCCGAACCCTAAACCTACACCCTAAACCCTAAACCCTAGGTAAACCCTAAACCATTAGACCCTACTCTAAGGATTCCGTATCTCATTTGTGGCCTGCTCCTGCCTTCGAGGGTGTGCCTCGGGAGGCAGGTGTAGGGGTTCGGATTTAGGAAGTTTGGCTTGAGTTTAGGGTTTAGGGTCTAGGGTAGAAACTTTAGGGTCTTCAAAATCTACCTTGATAAAAACAGGAGTAGTGGGCAGCTACAACATAGTCATAGTACTTATGGGACAGGTTTCAGGGAAGTACATAGGAGGTTGTCAAAATTATGGTCCCCTTTTTGGATCCCAATTACAATACGGCACCTAATACTTCGGGTACCCAAAAAGAGAATCCCTAAACCCTAAGCCCTAAACCCCTAACCCTAAACCCTATGATTATGGGCACTTGAACCCTTGGAGCTACGGTTTAGGCTGTGGGTTGGTGCCTTTTGCGTCAGGGTTTGTTTGGGAGGCAGGCCCCGCTACCGAAGATCCCTGCTGGGTATCACTACCCTTGTAAACATAGGTATTCCCGTATCATAATATACTGGCGGGTTAATTATTAGGGAGGTGTGATTAAACAGTAGAAAGCAGAAATAACTCGCGTTTGATATATTTGATGAGGAAGTGGCAACCAAGTTCGAGAACTGCCATGAAAGCCAGCTCCTGGGAGCTTGCTAGAGCTTCTGTTACCAATATTATCTCCGGGGCTGTGGACGACTTCCGGGAAAATGCCCAATATATCGGGCGAACTCCGCCCCTCACCTAGGACTCAAGGGAAAAGGGCCCCAACCTAAGGGCCCCCCCTAAAGGATCTAAGGTTCTTTATTTTTGCATGAGCCAATTTCAGACATGCGCAACAAATCTGTCCGGCCTGTCTGCTTATAGCTTTCGTCCGCTCTGCGCTCACGTGACAGATAACTCGGAAATACTGTACGAATTCTCCTCGAATCTTCTGGTACACCTCCTTAAAGGGGGTTATATAGGGGCTTGTATAGGGGACTACTATACGGGATCTTAAGGGGGATACTAGGAGTTTAGACTATAACCTCTACAATCCCCTATATAATCCTAGTTTCCAT